GTACTCCAGTACTGCCAAAAAAAGTAAAAATCAGACCCACATACAGATATAAAAATGTTTATAGTGTTAAAGATTTTTGCTTAACTCATAAGTAAGAAGCAAGGTAGGTTCTGTAACCTGTTTAAAGAACCCAAAGATCAGTCACATTTCTAGATGAAGAATATTCCATGTGTGTACACAGAGATCAAACTACCCACTTTTACTGTGAGGATGGCAAGTGAACAGAACCTTCACTGTACAGGACAGAATGATTTTATAATGCAATTATCTACAATAATATCACAGGATTAGAATCAGATACTTAGAGGTGGCTTTCTATGTGTAGTTTTCTACTGAAGCACAAAAATTTACCTGTGTATCATTTGCTGTAATGATATTTCAACATAACTAAAACACTGATCTTGGAAGTTCTACCTTCTTGCTGATTGAAATGTTCCTTTTGTTTTTGAAATCTTCATTCATTGACTTGCGCTATGACTGTCATTAGTTCTGACTTGAAATATCTTGGCTCCCTGTCTTCCTGGAACATGGTAAGATTGCATTTTGTACCTCTTCTGAACTTAAGCATGGCCATGTCATTTGTAATGATCAGTGAACTAAGAGGGGATATTGACTCATACTCCTTCCAGGAGGAAACCTCAAGGACTTGTGGGATTTCTCTCATTTTCTTTTCTTATCTTCATGAGTGAGGAAATATGTATCCTGATCATATTTTTTCATGCTCAATTGTCTGACTGACTGTGGAGAGCAGATCTCCCTTTAAGATCTGTGTTGGACTTGTAACATGAATGAGAAATAAATTTTGTTGTGCTTAGCCAATGACAAGTTGTTAAGTCAGATTGCTTGAGTTTGAATCCTGTCTACACAGGGCAAGTCCGTTAGCCTCTTTGTGCTTTGATTTCCTTCTCTGAAAGGTGAGGATAACAATTATGCTTCTGACCCTGGTACCATCACAAAAAAAAAGGTAATGCTTCTGCTATAGGCTCATGGTAGGATTAAATAAGTTAACGTGTGTCATCCCTTGGTACACAGTCAGTAACAATTGGGTCCTTGTCTCTCTGTTGGACTTTTTGACTCTTAGCTCAAACTTTGTCAGTGGTCCTTCATATTATAGTTTTGAAAATAATGTTGTAAGTGCAATGCTGTCCAAAATAGTACAGCTATTCCTACAGGGTAGTGTCAGAGGGACAACTGTTTCACACGCTGTCTCAGAATGCTCCCTGGAGGACCTGCTTGTATCATCTTTCTCTCTAGTGCTTTTGAAGTTGAGTGGTTTGTGAAACATCAGGAAACTGGACACTACAGTGTCATATGAGAAGCTAAATCAGACAGAGGGCAGAGCTCCTAGGCAGACTGAGTTTTCTTTCTTGAAATTATAAAGTGTTACTATTTTTCTAGCTTCTAAAATAGACTCCTTGTCTTGTCTTTATTATTAACCAAATAGATGCTTCATTTTATTATAATACTTTGCTAAATGAAATAATTGAAATTAGTGGAACAATTGTAAAATAGAGAAAGTGTACAATAAAATAGGAAAAAAGTACTAATCTTACTCATGTTGGGTTTATGCTTACTGAAATTATCATACTTCTTACAGTGTCTAGTGTAAAAAGATACACCTGCTGAAGTCATGCCCTCTAGAAGATGAGTTGGCATATTTTCTATAAATTTGTTGCAACTGTTTTCCAAAAGTGGGCAAATATCCTGCATTATTTGCAAGCCAATTTAATTTTTTTTGCAAACCAAAATACAAGTCTTTCATATTTTGATTTATGAACAACTAAATTTCCCAGTCCAATGAGAAAGGATATGGAGATGAAATCAAAGTTATAGTTATGGATTTGGCTTATATTGAATGATAGCAAACCATTCAGGTTTCAAGTTGTTGTGTGTTAATTATAATGGCATGGGACCTATGAATAGAAAAATAAGAGATACCTTTGTTAATTGGGATCCTTTTCAAAAGTTTGGGGATGAAAAATTGTTACATGAAGTGAGAATGTATGCCTTGATTATAAATAAAAATGCACTCATTTTTGACAGATGTAAGCTTGTAATAAAGGCAATGAAATTTAATGAAATAGATAAAAGTTAAAAGTACATAAACAACATTTTAATGAATACATAAGCAGTCCCTGCCTTGGAGAAACATGCCAGTACTTACTCACCAAGATCTCTGTTTTCATCTCTTAATTTCTATGCTTATTCAACTCATGTTCCTGTCTCTATACCTTTGACACTGTCTCTCCCACTGGAAATACACAGGGCTCAATGGAAATTGTCTATCTTTCCCAAAATATCAGCTGACTTCTCCAGTTCATGCTTATCCTTCTCTTTATGAGAATGGGTTTTCAAATCTTATAGTTCTCACAATTTAACACTATGCAATGTTATGTTATCTTTATATCTTATATTTCTACTTTCCCCTCTTTGCATTTGGGCTGTTACTTAAGGAAAGCACCCTATAAGCAGAATTCTGGTTATAGATAGAGACACAATAGGCTGATTGAATTTTTAATTGCTGGTGGATTGAAGGCAGTCATATTATATAACCAGACATCTTTTCAGGTGAACCTTCCATTGGTATTGATATTAGTGGGAGCTCTGATAGAAATCACTTTTAGGTTAGAGTTAATTTGAGTTGTGGTAAATCCTAACAACAACAATAACAGTAGGAGCCTTTACTCTTTTATACATTATACTATTTTACACATGGTCCTGTTTAATCTTCACAGCAACCCCATGAACAATACTATTATTGCTGACACTTTACAGACCAGGAGAAGCACAGTGACTGAAGCAGTAATGAGATGAAGTTTCACAGAGTGGGCCTTGGCTCCAGGGCCTTGCTCTCAAGCACTGTGCATGCCTGCCTGTCATTCAGGACAGGCAGCTGCTCAGTTTAATACTCTTCTCATTTTGGGAGTCATGAGTAGAAAAGTATTCATTATGTTCTGAGGACTGGTTGTCTGAAAACTCTGAGCCCTTATAAATTAAATATTTAGGGTTCCATAATAATTGAGAGTGATCTATATCTGAACACAGAATAAATGAAGGGAATACAGAATTTTAGCTCTAGTTTTCCTACTAATTGGTTGAATAAATTAGGTTGATACATTGTAAGAACTTTTGCAAATGTCAGCACAACAATAAATAAAAAAGTAAATAAAAAATAAATTAGGGCAGTAAGACCATGTTATGGCTGTTTTTAGGATGGAAAAAATGGCTCATAAACCAAAATGCCTCTTGATTTTTTTCTGATGGACTTTTGTGTATAGTGATATAATTCTTAATAGTCTCTAATTTATGAATATACTGGCTAGGAAATTATCAATAACATATGTACTTTCCCATATTGAAAATATTTTAAGTATTTATTAAAAATCTGTGTTTATTTGGGTAGTATGGTAAAAAAGATGAATAAATTCTTCAGAATTGTGGAAGATTTGTTTATGTGCTATAGAAATATGTTGGGGAAATTTTAAAAATTGGTTAACTAAAAAATAATTTAGTTTGAATTTTGGGTGGGGTGGTTCAATTCTAGCCAGTGGATTGTTTAATTAGTCACTGATGCTCAGCTTTTGTGACAAAATTTCTTCCCAAGTGAATACAGTAGACTCTTGGCATTCCTTGATGGAACATTTTCAATTTCTAGAAGTTAGAAATGAATTTTAATGTCTGCAATGTAGTGATTTATAGTTCTGTCAAATCATAAATATGACGTTAAGAACATAGGTTGATTTGTTGGAGCCACTCACAGCAAAGAGAAACCCGTACCCACATCTTCTCAAGTATGTATTTTATGGAGGAAATCATATGTTGTTTTATTCTGTTCCAGAACCCAAGGACATCTATCACAAATGCTAATAGTCTACTAATCGAACTTAAATTACAATTTCTATCCATTCACTTGCTCACTTACTCACTCACTCCTCCTCTGTGTCAGCAGAGCCTCCTGCCAGAGCTTCCCCATCTTTGTCACTAACCTCTTCTCATTTGATCTCTCTTCTAACCAGTGGCTTGATTTTGCTACTCACTTTCACACGCTCTTCAGTGTAATCATATTTAAAGTCACTCCCTTTGCAGCATACCTGGTTTTTCTTCTGAAATCTTGCTATAGTTTGGATGGCAAATGTCCCCCAAAGGTCCATGTGTTAAGGGCTTGGTCCCTAGAGTGGTGTTGTTGGGAAATGCTGGGGGCTTTTAGGAGAAGAGGCCTTGTGTGAGGCTCTTTGGTCATTGAGGTATGCAGTTGAAGGTGACCATGGGACAATGGCTCCTTCCTCAGTTCCTTTTGTGCCTCCTGACCGATGACGTGAAGTTTGTTGTGCCATGTGCTCCTTGACATTCCCAGTATGGGTTCACAGTGACAGGTCTACCTGACCTTGGACTGGAACTTCTAAAACCTTGATCTAAAGTAACTTAATTATCTCATGTATTTTGTTATAGTGTCGAAAGCTGACTGACACAATTCTGAACATATTCTGAATGAAACTCATTCTGGCTGTGAAGGTCATCTTTCATTTGATTCTATGTTGTCTGTCAGTTATGGCTTTTGGTTTGTCTTGTGGTGTCTGTTTCCCCTCTCATCATTTTGAATACTTACTTGCTATTTTACAATGTATGAACTTCCTGTTTACAACATGTCAGCAAATGACTTGTCAAACTTCAGTAGGCCTATAGTTATTTTTTTAACCTCTAAAGAATATATGAGTAGTTTTAAAAACAGGACAGCATGCTCTGGAGCACCCAAACCATCCCTGTGGGAGAGTCAGAGTTGCTCTAGGATCCTGCATTGGGAGCTTATGAACAGGGGGTAACATATGGGCAGAGAACACCAGCACATGGTAGGCCTAGGCTGAACCTACTTGTGAATTTTGCACTGCCATTTTGCCTTTTCTAAACAAAATAAAAGAATTTGTTTTCCTCTATTTCCCCTACAGTCAGGAACAAGACAAAGATGCCACTCTCCCTGCTCCTATTCAACATAGTCTTGGAATTCCTAGCCAGAGCAATAAGGCAAGAAGAAGAAATAAAAATGATACATAGGTAAAGAAATACTCAAAATATCCCTATTTAAAGAACAGGGTCTCCTGGGAGTGGGGTGGGGGTGGGGCAAACAATGTATACACATGTGAGCAAATGTAAAAATGAAAAAATAAAAAAATAAAAGAGAGAATTTGGTTTCCTGATCCTAGGAGGTCTATTCTCTCAGAACCTTTCCATGTTACTCTTCAACTCTTTGTCAGCTACTCATAACCATTCACCCTCTTGTTTTTTGTTTTAGGCTTTCAAAATCAAACTGTACTTCTCTTTCTCTCTCTGTGCTGGGGAATAGACTCAGAGCCTTATACATGTTAGGCAAGCACTTTACCACTGAGCTATCCCCCAGCCCTAGAAAAGTCTTTTTATATTTTATCTTTCATTGGCTCATGTGTTTGCTGAACCTGAAGCCTACTCTTTTCTTCTTGAAAACGAGGCACAGGAAATGTTCTGGTTATCATTTGGTATAAAATAAGCCACCCAAAAGTTAGTGGCTGGAAATAACACTTTATTATCATCTCTCATGGTTTTGTGGGTTGATTTGGCTCATCTGGTGGTTCTTACTTGGAGTCTTGCATGTGGTTTCATTTGACATCTGGATGATCTGAAGGTTCAATTAGTCTGTGTATCCATGAGAGCTCTCTTATTTGGCAGGACTACAGATGCCTGGACCACCTGGAGCTGTTTACCATAGTGCTTACACATTATTTCTTCATGTGGTTTGTCCTTAACATATGGCAGCTCAATTCCAATAGTGAGTGTTCAAAGAAATCTTCATGGACCCTGTGAGGCTTCTGATCTAGCTTGTGAAGTTCCAAAACATCCTAACCTATTCTATTGATTTGGAAGTCGGTAAGTCCAGTCCAGATTCAAGAACAGCAAAGACAGTACCACAGCTACTGTCAGAGTAGTGTTAAGGACTTACAGAAATTTTGGTGTTCTTTTTGATGTAATCAGAGGACTGAGAGAGAACTGAAAGGGGAATGGCTTTCTCACTATGTAATTCAATATTAATTCTTTCTCCTTGTTATCTTGACTAATTTTGGTACTGCCAATGGGCAAGGAGTGCATTCACTCACATCATGACTCTTGCCTTTGGGATTTTAAGCATGAATTTGACTGATGTCCTCATATCATTTTGAGGATTACTTTCTGCCTTTTGCTTATGCTAGAAACACACAGGAGGAAGGTAGAAGGCCATAAGTAACATAATAAATAAATTTAGTTTTTCTAAGGAAATCAGCCAAGTATTATATAAGGCAACTCACAGAGCATCTTTACAGGAATTCTGGAGAAGAGGCTATACCATTTTCAGATTTGGAAACTTTCTCTGGCTCACTTGGAAAGACTGTTTGGGAGAATGGATTTTCATTAGGTACCTTGTCTCGTGATTTAGGCTTCTGATTCAAGTGTATACAGTCGAGATACTACTATATTCCCCATGGGTTAAGATGAAATGAGTATCAACATCTATATGTGATATGTAGAAATGTTATGCGTGTATTATGTAAAAAAGTTATACAGCTTGTCAGGAATAACCTAAGTAGCTGTAGCACTTATAATTAGTGAAGTTAGTCCAAATTTTGTGAAAATCAATAAACAGGTAGGAAGGGTATAATTGTTTCTTCTTTCAGGACAAGCACAAAAGGCCAGTTTTGTGGGAAATTTACAAACTCTTAAGCTTAAATTTGGAACCAGGAGTCATTTGTATCAAAATTTGATGGTATGGAAAATTTTTATTGGTATATGGCTTTATATCTTTACCTAGTCAGTATATACACATATTTTAACTAAAGGTATAGTATATAGTTTCAGAAACTTTCCTTCAGTGTTGATTTTTCTTTTAGTGTTACTTGATATGTTGTGGATAAGCATGAAAAAATGATATATTAGCTCTTTACTTTGGACAACAAATTTCTTCTAATTTATATTGTCATTCAACATAAATGACTTAACTATCAAGGCTGAAACTTTGTTCTCAGTGACATTAAATGTGTCAGTTTTGTTTATTTTATAGTAAATAATAAATGTGAAGAGATTTTAGGAGCTTTGAGGCAGTTGCTGATAGAAAAATTTTCTGCTGAGTCCATCATATTCTTAAAGAAGCAAGATAGATGCTAGTCAATGCTGGGGATATGTTTTAGATGAATATTCCAAATTGTTTGGGCGGAATCCATGCTAACATTATTGTCACTGGTATACTTTTTAGGTCTAAAGATTTAGGAAGTGGGTTATTATTTTGAAAATGTTTTAAGCCTTAATAGTGCTTTAAGGCTTTCTCTCTCTGCTCCCCCCCACCCTGTTTCTCTCTTAACTTACATTAAATCCCACAGTCAAAAAGTACTTATGAGAGTAATATGACAAAATGTTTATAATGAGAATATATGTTTGAACTTTGTTTTTTAAGTGTTAAGTCACTGATGAGTTACTGTCTTTACTTAATTTCAAGACTGAACTCATTCATAAACATGATATTTATAAAGCACTTCTAATAACTTAGTTGTTACAGTAGTAAATTACACAACAAAATTCACAATTATGCACACATCTGGGCACAACAATGCAGAAATAAATATGCCTAGAAAAATATTCCAATATGTCAATAGTCGTTGTCTTAATTGCAGGCTATTTTTAACTTTTGGTGATTTTTCCTTTCTCTTATAATTTTTTCACCTTTGTATAATGAGCACATTTTAGCATGGGCATGTGTCAAATAACTGAATGAGGCACTCTGATTACTAATAAGTATGCTTCCATGATTTTTGTTAGTCATTAAATTATATTCATGAATAAACAATGAAAAGTTTTAGGCCAGCCATTTTCTAGCATCATTTGTGGCACTGTGACATTTATTGTCTACCTGCTTCACTTTTGATTATACACGTTTATGTTAGTAGTCTTGTAAATACTCCAGAAGAAAACACCAGCTCCCAGGCCATGAGGCAGCTGTTTCTTAATGGTGGTATAAGATGCTTCCCTGCTTCTACTCCAGTGGCCAGGAAGGCTCCATAGTCTTAGCTTGGAAGTGGCTGCAACTCTGTTATTACCAGACCAGCAGGGGAGGCCTGGCCCAAGTCTGTGACTCATAGTGACTCACTGGAATCCTCAGCAACAATTTCTTCCCCATCTCTTGTCAGCTTTTAGGAGCTTCAGGAGGTTAGGTAGGAGGAATGTGAAGCAAAGCAGAGTGAGTAACATAGAAGATTTTCTTCTTATGCCACTCCTATTTTTGTTTCTCATTCCTTGACTTGTATAATCTCATCTTTTATCTATCAGTTTTAAGTTACGGGATAATGGAAAGAAAAAGAAAAAAAATCCCAATATACCTATTATCAATTCATTTACTGAATCAGACATTGCCTAAGGTTGTTCTCTTGCTATTTGTTCTTCTGTAATATACAGATGTATCCTTGAGTGTTGAATTGTGAGAGAAAAGGAAGTCTTTCTCATGCTGTATGCAATAGTTAGTACAAATGACTACTAGTCATTGAACTTCCAAAGTAAAGAACTCTTTATTACTGATGTTCTGTGTTGACATCAACAACCTAAAAGTAATTGAAGTAGTCTGAAATGGAATATATGCCATTTGGGACCTTTTAACTAGATCACACTTTTATAAGAGAAGGTAGTGGCCTTTTAGCATACAAGTCTTACCACATATCCTAGCCTCCCACTTTAAGTAGATGTTTTGAAAATATCAGCTACATTGCTATTTTGCTTTAAGAAACCATATAATTTTGGCTATTAGAAACACTACCTAAGCATAGAATAGAATACCTGAAAATGATGATTGAACTCAGTCCCAGATGTTTGGCAGTTGAGCTGTTTGGTGGAAGTTTCTTGAGAGAAAGATGTTTGGGTTATTTTATATTTGATGACTTTTGAATATGTGAAAATTGAGGGGTTAAAAATAAAATGAAAGAACTGGGTCTTTGGTTTTTCTTTTTAATATTTTATTGGGTAAAGAGACATCCTTTTCCTACTATGCCTTATTTTTTGATACTTTTAATTTCCTTATAAATTTAGGAAAAGTGATGCATGTTTATAGATATTAGTCTATTGATTCTTATGATAGAGTTGCCAGTGGTTAGACTCATTAACCTACAAAGTACAAACCTTGAGGGGGAATTTTAATTTAGTAGGTAGTAACTTTATACAAATTGTCTTGGTAGGGTTTGTATTTTCTTATTTGAAGAGGGCCTTATTGAGTATGTATAATTTGAGGAATTTTTGGAAAGACCTCTTGTCTTCAACCAACCAACCAACCAACCAGCCAGCCAACCAACCTTTATTTCTGTATTCTGAGGTTTGAATTCAAGGTGAAGTATTAGAAAGTTATTTTTGAAGATTTTCATAATTGTACCGTTCAGCTGAATATGAAAGTAAAAATGGAAAGTTGTTAAAACTGGAGGATAGGGGTAGTTTTAGACACTTTATATGTGTATCCTCAATTTTGTTGAAGGGTAGATTATCAAAATCCAAAATAGATCAGAAATGGGCTATTTTAGAAGAAATTATTTTGAATAGGCAATGAGTAGGACATGATATGACTAAGGGGTGTTTGGGGCTTCTGTGATTTTCCCCACACTTTCTATGTTGGGCCGTTGCTACTCATATTGTTTGTGGGGCCCTCCAGTTCCCACTCCACAGAGCTGCTATCTGATGGGATATGGCTTACTTCAGTGCTCTGATTCCGTGCAATGAGATTATGCTAGGAATTTTGGAATTTTCTCCTACTTGTGCTGGTTTATGAACTGCCACCCTAGTACTCTCTATACCACGTGAACACAGTGTCTTCATCTGTTTTGTACTGCTATAATAAAATACTCAAGACTGGTAACTTACAGAGAATAGAGGTTCATTTAGCTCGTATTTCTGGAGGCTGGAAAGTACAAGGGCATGGTGCCAGCATCTGGTAAGGACCTTGTTGCATCATAGCAGGGCGGATGGCATTGCATGCTGAGGTAGAACAAGCATGTTAGTTTAGATCTCTTCCTTTTCTTATGAAGCCACTAATGCTAGTGTGGTTTCCCCAACCTTCTTGACCCCATTTAATCCTAATTACCTCCTGGAGGTTCCACTTCCAAATACCATTAATATGTGAATTTGGGGGTTGAATTTCCATCACTTGAACTTTTTGCACATTCAAACCACAGCACACAGTTATTCCTCATTTTTAGGTACGTATTTTCTCCCTCCCTTCCTCCCTCACTCCCTTCTTCCTGCTAGACATCAAATCCTAGTGCATGGTAGACACGCATACCAAGCCTGCTGGTTTTGTTTTATTTTCCTTCTCTCTTTTGGTGAAGCTTAGGGCCAATCTATAAAAAGTTAGAACTTAATAAAGGAAGTATTTTAAAGTATCTGCTCCTAGAAACAAACCATGTATGAATGGAGCAGTTATTGACACTGTGCTTTTTTAAAAAGGCTTGCCCATGACTTAAGGTATGGAAAGAGAACTTTCAAATGTCAGTTAAGCCAGGCACTGGTGACTCATGCTTATAATCCTAGCTACTTAGGAAGCTGAGACTGGGAGGATCACAGTTTGAGTTTGAGGCCACCTGGGGCAAATAGATTGTGAGACCCCATCTCCAAAATAGCCAGAGCAAAATGGACTGGAGATATAGCTCAAGTAGTAGACCACTAGCTTTGCAAGTACAAAGCCCTGAGTTTAAACCCCAGTTTCAGCCTCCCAAAATTTTTTAGTAAATAGAGTGGACAGCATTTCTTAGCTGATTTATAATTATTCAGGAGCTAATTATCCACTTGGAGAATTATTAGGTTGTCTTGTTTCACACCTTTTTTTTTTCTACCTCCCATCATTATCAGGGATAACTGAGTGTTGATGGAAATCAATGGAACTGGCCTTGCCAAGTGACTTAAGGTCAGGATGTGTTCTAAGAGTTGGAGGAAAGCTCTTGACTGATACAGTTCAGAGTTTTTCTTATTTTATTATCTTTTCCTGCTTTGGCCTCTGTCATCTAATGATTTTGTGAAGTCTTTATACTTTTTTATGTATCTAGGGGGTATTGTATTTAAAGCTCTGAGCCTAAAATAAACTCTCTGGAAGAGTGAATTGAGTTAACAATGGTTATAACTGCAGAGATATGTGCTATGAAATGTTTCTAGAAATCCGTAGGGCAAATGCTAGAGCATTTTGGCTCAACACACTTAACTCTAATGCACCTCAGCCAAGCAGAGTTTATGGTAACTGTCATTCTATATTAGCAGATATGGTTAAAAGATGAGTACTTTTAGATGAATGTGTGTATGGTTCCTTCTCTCTTCTCAGGAAAAATGGTTTGGTTTGCCAGCAAGTAATTTTTTTTCATTGTTGTTAGGATCCCTTCTAGTCTGTAAATGAACAGGAAGCTGTCTTCCAAGGGATTTCTTTCTTCACTTACTTTAAAAGTAGTATGAGCAGGGAATCATATACAGCATGATAAAGTACGCAATGAATTTCCAAGTCCTCTATCAGAGTTTGTGGACGTTTATGAGTGTGCTGCTGTAGTGGCAGAATGTCCGTTAGTGCTGGGAAGAGATTACTGTTAATGTCTTTGACTTTGTGAAGGAAGCATATTTGCATCCATACCACCTTTCCTATAACCATAGCAACCAAGTCATCAGGTTTCATTTTCTACCTTATTTCAAAAAATAAGATATTTTAATAGATAAAATAATAATAATAAGATAATAGATATTATCTATTAAGATAATTAATG